TTTTAATTTTTTCTAGGTACTGATTAAATAAAAAAAAATAGTCGGTATTCTGTTTCTTCATGAAGGAGTTGAAACGACACGGACGAAGCTCTTTAATATTCTTGATATTTCATAAGATTAAATTAAAATTTATATGAATAACTTTAAAATTCAGTTGCCTTGAAAAGGCAACTATTCCACTTTTCAATTTCAAAATCAAATGTATTCGAGTAATTTAAAAATAAGTTGCATTGGAAAACGATAGAAAACTACAAATATCACCATTGAGAGAGGAAAATTAATATTATTGATTCATGCAAGTCTTAATCAGTCTAATGTTCGAAGCATATCTGTTGATCAAGATCTGAAAACTCATGAAAGTTGTATGATTAGGAACTTAATTTTGTTTTTTTAACCTGATGAGATAGTGATGCAGGCATCAATTACAACTGATAATACATTTCCTTCTACGGATGTAGGTTCACTTATCAACAATGAGTCGATAAAGACGGAAAACTAGAAGAAAATCTACAATTATGAACAATTTTCTCCATATTTTATAGCCTATTTATTTTCTTGTCGTATGTTTATTCACGTCACTTGCAATCACCTATTTAAAATTCAGCAATTATCCTTGGTGAAAATCCATGGTATATACGAGAAAAGATCTTAGAGTTTTAAAAACATGAAATTTTTGTAATATACTTTAGAAATGTTTAGCCGTCATTAAAAAAATTAACTAACTATCTTATTGTTTAATCGATCATTTTTTTTATACAAATCAACATCTCTTTTAAAGACAACTGAATTTTAAAGTTAACTCCGACATTTATATAAATCAGAGTCAATATCAATGTCCAATGAGTCATCTTTTTATTACGCTGATGATCACACAAACATTGTCAAAAGTTCATAAACAAAGAAATAAAAAAATTTCATATATATATTTTTTTACTTCATCTTTCGATTTGTTAAAAATTTTATTTACAACTCAAATTTACGCGCATGCAGATATTAATGTACATTTTCTTATCATCACAACACGAAACGCAAAGTTAAGTCAAAAAGAGGAAGAACATATGAAGAACGAAATTTATGTGATGATGAGCACATGGTTGAAAAAAGCTGTCTATGTGATGAAAAAGGTCATGGTCCATTGATTCACGTAAACATACATTTATGGGGAAAAAACCAAGTAATGTTATCGATTATAAATACAGAATAAAACCTATTGCAAGCACATCAAACAAAATTTGTACACTCAACTATCGACACTAGCACGTAAGTATATTTAATTTCCAACATTCTTAGACTAGTAGTGACATTAAATTTGAAAGTAAAGAGTGACTACAAACAAGATAAAAACGAAAGAAGTTTTTACGAGAACTACGCTGGGTGATAATCAGGATGTGCAGTCGATCGTCTTGATTGAAGAAGCTACTACATATATTATAGGCTTACTGCAAACCACGTTACACACATTAAATTTTTTATACCTACATTGCACTGGGAGTATCAGTAATGAAAGACACAATTTTCAATTTTTATGAAGATATCATAGCAAGGAATTCAAAAAATTATAATAAAATTTGCTCAATGATATAGACATATAAAAAAAACTATTTGAATCTTAATGTACTGAATCAAAATCTAAGATTTGTACATGAAAACAATAAGTCCTTATTCACAGAATAGAGTAAGTGTCCAGATAATCTCTTGAAAGCTAGCTCAAATAAAAAAACAACCTTCATGCAGTAATTATTAGAGAAAATGAAATCGAATCGATTTCGACTTTTCATCACTCCAGCTGTGTTTTTTTGCATAGAACGCAAGCTTATATGAGAGAAAGGAAGCTTGGAAGGAGAGGGAGAAATAAGAAGAGAGAAAATAGTGAATATAGGAAAAAAAGAGCAGGCAGCTATTATCTTTCATGAGGTTCTATTATTGGCACACTAAGAGCATGACCAAAGTTGACAATTCTATTGTTGTGCAACAAAAGAAGAAATTATAATCGGTTATAACTTAGATTTTGTTTATACTGTTGTACTGGCTAATACACGATAAGGTGAAACAAAACAAAATAGAGTCTTTTTCGATATAGAAAAAAGACGAAAAAAATCGATTAAAATCAGATTTTTTTCCTTTTTTTCTTTTCGTAGAACTTCAGTGTTACAGTACTATGCTATTTGCTGTCGTTCCGATCTCTCTAGTCTTTTCTCAAACAGTCCTAATCGAGGACTAGTCTAAGATCTGGTGTGTCCTTAAATCTCGTCCCAAATTCGTCACTGACAAGCATCAGCACACATATAATATCTAGTCTTGTTCAAGTGAAAGATCCGCGTAGGACTACTTTAGTGTCGGTGATATATCAAATTATTATCAAAAATGCAGACTAGTTCTGGACGAAGCCGTTTCGAGGTGAAGGATCGTATGATCGAAAATTCAACTTCTACACCTTGGTCAACATTTATACCCATTATTTAATCGAATTCTATTCATATATTTTTTAAAATTTTTATATGGATAAAAAAATCTTTGTGTTCTAATACGAATTTATATATTCCCCTGAAATAAAATACACTCTAAGTTAAAATGTGTCGGATGTGTCGTAATTCACAACACATTCCACGACACATTCGAGCACGACACGAGGTGCTCGTTGCGACACATTTTCTCCAGCAAGCGTACGACACATTATCTCACGACACATCCGACACATTCTGAAATCAGTGTTCGAGTCTAGGTTTCACCGTATCGATAATTTTTTTTCTTTCGTGTGTTACACCCATCAACATTTAATTAGTACAATTAACATCAGTGTTTGATGCAACAGTGTAAACCAGGCAGATCTTGAGATCTAGCCGCGTAAGGCTAGTCAGATCTTGGCCGGACTATTGCCAGGTAGACCTCTCTTTAGGTGAGGTCATTATTTCTTGAAATATTTACAAGAAATATATAATCGAGAAATATGTTATATAGAATGGTGCTGGAAAACTTATCATTTTCATGGGATGGTTCAGATCGATTATATATAGATATACACACGAAACAAAATCGGTGAATGAACAGTCGTCATATATGTACAGAACGGTTAAAAATACGACACATTAAAGTGCGACATATTTTCTCGATGGAACCCACGACACTATAATTTACGACGGAAAAAGTCCACACATTTTAACTTAGAGTGTAGCTTAACTCGGTATCTTTAACATATCATTGTTATAAATCAATATTTTTAGAAAAATAATTATATACTCGGATACCCCGTGAAATTCTCTACAAGTTTATATATATACGTTTGGAATTGCAGTTGTTCGCTAAAAATATGCCCAAGCACAGTGAAGGCACCCTAATCGTCAGATTCCTCGGAAATGCTTTTTTTACTCCTTCTTCATTCATATTTTTAAGTTTATTTTGAACATAGGAACAAGTTACTACAAAAGTAAGTATATATTTTGAGAGCGCGTGAAATGTTCTGTCACTCTGTACTTTTGTCAATCTTGTCTTGCAATTGTTTGATGATAAATACTTCAAGTATTGTTGAAGGTTTAGGCCATATCTTTCTGCAAAAGTGGTTCATCATAGATCAATCACTCTCAGTAGCATTAAGATAAGGACTGACAAGTGAATAATTATTCATACATCTTTTTCGATTATCGGATAACCATTCATGGGCTACTGTATGAGTTCATGTGTAGTAATCGAGAGCGGCAGTGTTACAGTGAGTGAACATTAACAATACTCGAAGTATTTATTATCAAATAATTACAGGACAAGACTAGCAAAAGTACAGGGTGATAGAGAATTTTATGCGCTCTCAAAATATATACTTACTTTTGCAATAACTTGTTCGCATATTCAAAATAAACTTAACAATATGAATGAAGAAGGAGTAAAAAAAAGCATTTCCGAGGAATCTGACGATGAGGGTGCCTTCATTGTGCTTGAGTTTATTCTTAGTGAACAAATGCAATTCCAAACGTACATATATAAACTTGTAGAGAATTTCATGGGCTATCCGAATATATAATTACTTTTCTAAAAATGTTGATTTATAGCAATGATATGTTAAAGATACCGAGTTAAGCTATTTTTTCCATGGGGATATATAAGTTCAAACAAGGCTGTTTTTTTTAATTAAAATATTATTTTCATCAAGTTTTAGTAAAAATTAATGAATGCGAACAAATACCATGTTCAAAATAAATTAATAATTTATTTTTAATTAAAGAGAAGATAATGTATATAAGCATCATAATTTTATTTTATTATAAATTAAGTTAATCCATTTTAAAGTTAGAACTAGAATAAATTTGTGCAATCTTAATTAATACTTAAATTAAACTAATCAGAGTGCATATTTAAAGTTAAATGAAATTGTAAGGCAGCAAAAAATATTCATATTATTTTAGGGTTGATGTAGATCTTTTCTTTATTAACACACACCCCTCACTTGTTTCCGAGCATTTTGATTGTCTAGCAAATGAATAAGTACCTGTCTGCTATTTGAACTATTAAAGCTGACATTAGTCTCTTGGTAAGCCATGATGTGGCACCAGGACACGCATCACGTGTTGAATACAGATAGATCAGTTGTTCGAATCCATCTTTTGTGTGCAGCTTTTTCTGTTTTTCTGTTCTATGGATTAATCTGGATAGATTAGACAGACAAACAGACTAGACATGTCGAGGTTCAACGACATCCTGGACTAGTCCAGACATCATTGCAGAACTTTTTCTTGTCAGAATAACTAGTCATGACGAGTATTGGAGACATTTCACTTATTTTTTACTTACTTGTGTATTCTTCCTTGCTTCCTGCTTGATGTAAAGAGACTTTGCCCGTCCATCATCGTCATGTCGTCAGCAACACTCTTGAAATAAATCAACGATCGTCAGAGAAGAAGTCCTTAAAGTCTATAGCAACCAGCCAAAAAAAATGTGAACAAAAAGAATAAACAATTCTTTATACATAGGGAGACGGCTTCTCAGTTATTGCATTCATTCACTCATCTGTTATGGACAAACAAAAATCGACAACAACTGCTGCTGGTGGACTATCAACAAAGGCTATCACCACCAATCATGCTGCTGTGCTATCCCAACCTATTCGCCGAGTTCTTCAAAGTTTTCTTCTGGTCTGGCTTGATGCCAATTTCGATGAATCCAACGATCATTATAATAAGTCAATACAAGATCTACAGCATATTGTAGCAACAATCACAACATTTACAGATGTTGATCAATGTGTTGATTTTCTCAGTGACATTGAAGATGAAAAAGTATTGATGATTGTGTCTGATGCACTGGGACAACATATCGTACCAGAAATTCAAGCATTGCCACAATTACACTCAATTTATGTTTTCTGTGACAACCAATCGATTCATCAACAATGGACCAAAACAATACCTAAAATAAAAGGTGTATACACACAAATTGAACCAATTTGTGAAGCATTAAAAATCGATTGTGAACATTGTGATCGAGGTATGATCTCGGTCAGTTTTAATGGTCTCGATCCATTATTTATGTATACGCAATTTTTAAAAGAAGCCCTTCTGGAAATCGAAGATGATGATACAAAATCTATTAAGGAACTCGTTGAATACTGTCGTCTTCACAGTGATGCTTCCGAAATAACACTCGAAAAGATCGAGCGAGAATATCGTGATCATACACCCATTTGGTGGTACACGGGTCCATATTTTATCTACTCAATGCTCAATCGTGGTCTTCGACAAATGGATGTCGATATTATACTTAAAATGGGCTTTTTTATTCGCCATCTACATCAACATATTACAGACTTACATCGTGAACAGCAAAACAGCAAAGCAGCCATGCCATCGAAATTTCAAGTTTTTCGTGGTCAAGGCTTATCCATGGAAGCCTTTGAAAAAATGAAGAAAACCAAAGATGGACTTATGTCCTTTAATAATTTTTTGTCGACAAGTAGTAATCGTGAGATTTCTTTAGAGAGCTTTGCACAACTGGCAGCATTGGATGCGAATTCAGTTGGCATCCTTTTTGTTATGAACATCGATACGGCTATTTGCACAGCATCATCGACACCTTTCGTCAACGTCAAAGATGTTGGCTTCTTCGATGATAAAGAAGAAGAAATCCTTTTTTCGGCACATACAATTTTTCGCATCGATTATATAGAACGTATTGAAGATAAGCATACAGATCGTCTCTGGCAAGTCAATCTCACCCTCGCTGGTAATCAAGACGATGATTTTAACAAATTAACAGCACATTTACGCAAAGAGCATAGTTGGGCAACAGGTTGGGCTCGACTTGGTCATATACTTATTAAGTTGGGTGAGCCTGCGAAAGCAGAACATCTCTATCAGCTACTCCTTGAGAAGGCAACTTCTGATGGAGACAAAGCGCAGTATAATCTTGAACTTGGTACAGTGTATAAAGACATAGGAGAATATTCGAAACCAATAACATTTTACGAAAGAGCAATCGATATCTACAAGAAAATGAGCCCTCCGAATCAGCTCGGCTTGGCTGCTTCCTACGGCAACATCGGCTCGGTGTATAATAACATGGGCGAGTACTCGAAAGCACTTTCATCGTACGAACGATCACTTGAAATCAAAAAAATAGCTCTCCCTCCGAATCATCCCGACTTGGCTGCTTCCTACAACAACATCGGTATGGTGTATTATGGCATGGGCGAGTACTCGAAAGCACTCTCATCGTATGAACGAGCACTTGAAATCCAAAAAATAGCTCTCCCTCCGAATCATCCCGGCTTGGCTACTTCCAACAACAACATCGGTAATGTGTATCATAACATGGGCGAGTACTCGAAAGCACTTTCATCGTACGAACGATCACTTGAAATCCGAAAAATAGCTCTCCCTCCGAATCATCCCGACTTGGCTGCTTCCCACAACAACATCGGTATGGTGTATAGAGACATGGGCGAGTACTCGAAAGCACTTTCATCGCAAGAACGATCACTTGAAATCACAAAAATAGCTCTCCCTCCGAATCATCCCAGCTTGGCTGCTTCCTATAACAACATCGGTTCCGTGTATTATAACATGGGCGAGTACTCGAAAGCACTTTCATCGCAAGAACGATCACTTGAAATCCGGAAAATAGCTCTCCCTCCGAATCATCCCGGCTTGGCTGCTTCCTACCTCAACATCGGTAATGTGTATAATAACATGGGCGAGTACTCGAAAGCACTTTCATCGTATGAACGATCACTTGAAATTCGAAAAATAGCTCTTCCTCTGGATCATCCCGACTTCGCTCAATCCTACAACAACATCGGTATGGTGTATTATAACATGGGCGAGTACACGAAAGCACTTTCATCGTATGAACGATCACTTGAAATCCGGAAAATAACTTTCCCTCCGAATCATCCAGACTTCGCTCAATCCTACAACAACATCGGTGCAGTGTATGATGAAATGGGCGAATACTCGAAAGCACTTTCATCGTATGAACGATCACTTGAAATCACAAAAATAGCTCTCCCTCCGAATCATCCCGACTTAGCTAGTTCCTACCAAGGTATCGGTTCGGTGTATTATAACATGGGCGAGTACTCGAAAGCACTTTCATCGCACGAACGATCACTTGAAATCCAAAAAATAGCTCTCCCTCCGAATCATCCCGATTTAGCTAAATCCAACAACAACATCGGTTTGGTGTATAATAAGATGGGCGAGTACTCGAAAGCATTTTCATCGTACGAACGATCACTTGAAATCCGAAAAATAGCTCTCCCTCCGAATCATCCCGATTTAGCTAAATCCTACAGCAACATCGGTAATGTGTATTATAGCATGGGCGAGTACTCGAAAGCATTTTCATCGTACGAACGATTACTTGAAATCCGAAAAATAGCTCTCCCTCCGAATCATCCCGATGTGGCTTCTTGCTACAACAACATCGGTAATGTGTATTCTAACATGGGCGAATATTCGAAAGCACTTTCATCGTATGAACGATCACTAGAAATCCAAAAAGTAGCTCTCCCTCCGAATCATCCCGACCTGGCTAGTTCCTACCTCAACATCGGTTTGGTGTATTATAACATGGGCGAGTACTCGAAAGCACTTTCATCGTATGAACGATCACTTGAAATCCAAACAATAGCTCTCCCTCCGAATCATCCCGACTTAGCTGGTTCCTACCAAGGTATCGGTGTGGTGTATAATAAGATGGGCGAGTACTCGAAAGCACTTTCATCGTACGAACGATCACTTGAAATCCGGAAAATAGCTCTCCCTCCGAATCATCTCGACTTCGCTCAATCCTACAACAACATCGGTTCGGTGTATTATGACATGGGCGAGTACTCGAACGCACTTTCATCGCACGAACGATCACTTGAAATCCGAAAAATAGCTCTCCCTCCGAATCATCCCGACTTGGCTGCTTCCTACAACAATATCGGTAATGTGTATTATAACATGGGTGAGTACTCGAAAGCACTTTCATCGCACGAACGATCACTTGAAATCCGAAAAATAGCTCTCCCTCCGAATCATTCCGACTTGGCTATATCCTACAACAACATCGGTTATCTGTACAACAAGATAGGTGACTATTCCAAAGCACTTTCATTGCACGAGCGGTCACTTGAAATCGGAAAAATAGCTCTTCCGATGAACCACCCTGACTTAGCATATTCATACGATAACATTGGCTTGGTGTACAAAAACTTACTTGAGAACACAAAAGCACTTGTATTTTGTCAAAAAGCACTTGATATTCGGCAAACGTCACTTACTGCGGACAATCCAGACTTGGCAACTTCGTACAATAGCAACGGTTTGGTGTATGAAAGCATCGGGAAATATTCGAAAGCACTTTCATTTTATCAAAAAGCACTGGAAATTCGTGAAAGAGTTCTGCCTACAACACATCCTGATATCACCGAATCGAAAACAAACATTGAA